GTTCAAGCCCAACAGCTCAGCACATCAAACCAGACAAAGAAAAAGGAAGAAGGACACAAATCCACAGCTACTATGTACCGGTAATCCATTTTCCTTTTTTTTTCTTATCCTAAGGATCATGATATCGACAGATCAGGCTCTGAAAAGATAACTCAAACATTTGAAATGGGGTTCTCTGAAAAGCTCATGAACAATTACTATCTTACCTGTTGGCGATAGATCTAGAGTTGAATGCAGACAAGATTGATGAACAAAAATATACTCTTACTGGAGTCAAGAAGTGTGTTTATGCCAATACTATTTTTTTTATCTTTACACCGCCATCAGTTCCATCTGTAGAGCACATGATTCGTGTCTCTTGTTTATATTTTGTGGTTGTTCTGTTGTGGTTGGTGTACATGCCAGCTGAAGAAGGTTATGTTTAAATATAACCTTTGTGGTGTGTTAAAATCACTCACCCCCAAAGGCAAATGGGTTACAATTAACTTTTGGCATAAACCTATGGGGTGCCAAGTGTAACATAAAATAAAATGTTGAAAAAGGTCATTAACACATTTTTATTATTTAACTCACTTTCTGAGTGTAAAATCCTACATAAAATACAGTACTTCTATTAACGTTACCGTTATCTAGCTCATTGTTCTTACATTTTGAAAAATTAAATCTCAGATGTTGCATCTAAATGATAAAGTTTACTTTTTTTTTTTCAAATTAGAACACAGCCTTTGCTGTCAGTGTGCACTTTTGTTGTGACGTCCTCATCCTGTGACAAAAACAAATGCTAATGTTGCTAACGTTGCTGAAGATGGCATTTAAAATTATATGCAAAATGTGTTCATTGAAAACAATATGAATGGTACCTGTGGTCAGGCAGTTTGAAAAGAAGCTTGGACACCGGCTACAACTGCAAGTTTGATGGCTTGTAGGGAAGAATTAGCAGAGTTAGCAGTTGCTTTTGTCTCGGGATGATGACATCATAACAAAAGCTGCCAACCAATAGCAAAGGCTGCATTTCATTCCAAAATAAACTTTAATATTTAGTCACAACATTTAAGATTTAATTTTTACATTTAGATTTAGAATTTACCATGTCGAAGTAACATTTAACATTTAAATGTAACATTTAGTAAAAATCAGCTAAAGTGAGCTAAATAATAAAATGTTAATGGATTTTTTAAACTAGGATTTTACACCCAGAAAGTGTGCTAAATCATGAAAATGTGTTACTAATGTTTTATTTTACACTTAGCACCCCATATACACATACCTCCTGAACTGATTAACGTTTGAAGTCCTTTCATTTCAAGATGGCCGCCACTACTTACTAATTAGCCTTAGGGAAAAATTTAGAGTTACCAATTAACCTAACAGTCATGTTTTTGGTCTGTGGGAGGAAGCCAGAGTGCCCAGAGAGAACCCACACATGCATGGAGAGAATATGCAAACTCTACCCAGAAAGGTCTCCAAGCCGGGATTTGATCCGGCAACCTTCTTGTTGAAAGGCATCAGCTCTGCTGAGCCACTGTGCTGCCTAAGTGTAATGTAATTGACTAATAATCATCTATATTGATCTGTACATTTATTTGAACTTAATCAATGAAATAAATTGAATCTAAATATTCTCATTTCTTAGAAAAAGTAGTCCATTAGTGAACCAGTTTCATTTTGATATATGATCAGTGGAAGCAACTTCTTGTCATCTCTCCTCAAATGTCTTGTGGCTAGCAGTTCACATTTTTCAAAAAGGAAATAAAAAGCACACTTTGACAGGAAGTGCTATTCAAATTAAAATTACCTGATTACGTTGATTTGAAATCACTCAATATTAAATTTATTTAGAATTAGATAAACATAATGTTTATGTTTTATTTAACTACAATGACTGGATCTTACTCCAAACATTTTTATTTTAAATTTAGTTAAATTGTTGCCTCAAAATCAAAAACACAATTATATTGAATATATTTTACATAATATATTAATTAAAATGTACATAGCCATAGAATCATTTCTTTCAGTGTTAACTAGCACAAAAATAACTATAACTTTGTCAAATGTACAACTATTGGCATGATTCTTTATGCAATAAATACTGTAAATACACATGAAAATGTGTGTACCTTTGGCTGAAGCCAGTCCCCCTGCTTTCACCTCGGTAATATGAAGCTGCTGCACCCCATCCTCATCAATAACTGCCACAGAAAAACCTATAAACACAAAGAATGAGACAGGGAGAGTCGCTGTGTTAGTCCTTCTTGAAATATCTGTTTGAAAGGATTCACTGCTGCATAAAAATGAAGTGATTAGGTTCACTTAGGACCACTTGTGCTCTCACAGGGTCATTTTCTTTCAGTAATTATCAAAGCAAGACTCAATAAAGTCCATTAAGAAATCAATTTGACACAGAGTTTCAGAGCGTGTCGAGAACTGAGGACTACTGTCGCAGACATACGCACCATGTCCGATGGTGTTGGACTCGGTTTTGTCAAAACGAATCACCTTGGTAGCTTTGTGGCAAATCTCAATCTCCTTGTAGAGCTGCAATCACACACATGCATATTAAAGTGAAAAATAAATGGAAGGCTACAACAACAGATAAGGTCAAGGCTATGCTATAGATCTTAAGAAAGAATGAACAGGTTCATGCATTATTCCTGATCCTCGGCAGATCAAGTGCACGAAAGGTTCTTGGGGTCGAAACAAAGGTCAAGTCTGTGAAGGGAGACGGTGTTCAGACCCTCACACCAGACAAGAGCACAGACACAGCAGTGTGTATGAGGCAACAACCAGGACAGACGTCTGTGCTGTGCAATATCCTTCTCAGAGGAGAAATAATAATGTAATATCATACCCTGAGCATGAAAGAGGGTGAAATGAGTGTCTGATCAAAGCAGGAAGATAAAAGTGGCTCTTGTTGAAAAGCCCAGTTAGTTAGTGATTGAGCTTTGGAAAAAGGTTCCATATATCACCGCCACAAAGAAAATCCACTCTGAGAATAACGTGGAGGTGAAACCTTTTCCAGCAAATTTGATTTTTTTTTTGTGTGAATAATATAAAAAGTCCAAATACACACACACACATTCTATACAATATAAACAGATTTCATTCAGAGTGCGCACAATGTACTCAGAATGCTATTTTAAATTATTTATTGCGTTTTGCAAAAATGGGTGTTTTGCCTTATGGGAATTTTGCGTGCATGGCATTATAAAGCTGAAACCAGGTCATAAAGAATGCACAAGGTTTCGTCCATGTCTGCTGATAAACTATTGGAAATTCTTTCATTATGAGGCGAAGGTGAAACCTAAATAACACACTACGTTTCACTGCAACAAAATCCACAACCCGCACAGTAAAAGAGCTCCACACAGAAAATGGGATTATTTGATAGGTGTTTGCCATATGTTGTATTCTATATGCTGTAATTTTCTTACAAAGTCAGAGATGTCCTCCTCAAATTTGGGAACATAATAAAGGGTTTGGTTGTCAACCCAAACCTTCACACGCAGGTAATGGCCAGAGGGGTCGATCTGATGGGCCTGCAAGCACCAAAACAGAAAATATATTTTACATTAAATAAATATGTACACAATTTGATCAATAAGCAGAGATATTGATAATTTTATGGGATTAAAATTTTGCCTTTTATGACAGCTTTAAAGCTTAAATATTTGCAGTCTTGGCAGTATGATAGCACGTTAACACAATAATAAATAACAGGACRTAGTAGTAGGATTGAACGCATTTGGGAAATTATTATTTTATTATTAAACCTTTTATTCACCAGGAAAATCCCATTGAGATTAAGAATCTCTTTTGCATGACTGGCAGCAATACACAGAGGTTACAAACATTTACAGCAAAAATAGAAACAGCATCATCATTGATAGATTACATAAAAGATTTCAAGAAATCTGTGACATCAAGAGCTGCATAATGTAGTGTCTCAGTAATGCCCTACCTTACAGATGGATCTCAGGACTTCCGTTGCTGTTTCACCAGGCTGTATAACAGCCAGGACGGGCTGATTGTTCGGCAGACACACCCAGGACGGTTTCAGGTGATCGGGAACCCAAATATCACTATCCACAGTTTGGTTGGGACTATTTTTCACTGACTCTTCTGTTTTCTTCTGAAATGTACACATAACCCACACATACAGTACAATATAATGAGTAAAAACAGACGTGCAAGAATTATCTTATAATAACTCATGATGGATTTTAATCTACACCATATTTGTGAAACGTAATTCACTTGTGTTGATGAGAACTTTTACCGCTTTGTGTTTTGTATAATGCTTGTGCGTTTTGTTTGAGCTGTTCATCTAACTGATTTCCACCAGCATTCTGGCCACCATGTCGGCCTCTCTCTTGTTTGACCTCGCAACGCCTGCAATGTATCTCCTATCGAATAACAGCATCCAGATTGTCTCTTTCATTCTTCTATCACACCCACCCCCCTCCATTAATCATTGCATCTCCTTCGCGTGCCCTTTCCCCCTATCTGTGCTTCCCTCCACCAACGTCCCCCTCCCCTTCTCTGCCTTCGTGCCGCGTAATCTGCTGACAGTTAACAATCACGCCCTGATGCAGTCCCTGTTGAAATTAAACTAAGCTAAATCTTGGCTCAGTCTGTGATAGTATTTGGTGCGACAGAAAGAGTCTGACTTGTGCACAAACAAAATACAGATACACAAAGACAGAGTTTTCCCAGACAGACAACAGGCTGGGGGTCCCATAACCAGGACCTCCCCCTAACTCCCTGAACTCCCAGGCTTGCTCTGTACCATCTGGCTTCCCTCCTGGCCTATCTTAGATTCCTCTGCTGGGGGGGTGAACTGGTTCCAGGAGGCACATTAAAATCTCCTGGTCTCTCATTCTCTCCTAAACTAGCAAGACTCCCCTGAATCACCGCTCAGATGAGCCTATCCGACTTGTCTACTCAAAGCTAATCTTGCTGAAAAGTCCTCACTGTGAGAAATGAGAACTGCATTTGATGCTTTTTGTTGCTACAAATCGAGGCATGCTAAGTTTTATGCATTTCTTTACAGTCATCTGTGCCAGAGGAGGTTGAGCGTGGGTGGAAGGAAATTGATCTCTCATTCTGCCACTGGGGGCCCTCACAGCCAGAGCACTTTATTGCTCCAGTTTTTCCTTCCGTCCTGCAGGGTTCAGATGGAGGCCTGTCTCTCCTCTCCCACACCGCCTTCGCCTTTTACCGCTTCTCATGAAATATGGAGCGAACACGCTTGTCCTTGCACAACCTCCGGTATGAATAAGTGGGACATTTTTCTTTACAGTTCAGATAAAATTACCCCTCGTTCATCTGTGATCAAATTCTAATGAACAAGCTCTATGTCAGGCTGGCGTTTCTTTTCAATTGTCTGCAAAGTGTGGTCAATACAAGTGGGCATATGAGGGCACAGATGGCGTGAAACTTCCAGGCCCTTTGGTATATAATTTCTGCATAATTTCAGCTAATGATCAGCAGATATCAGATCCCATTTGTCTCAATGGGATTTATCAGACTGGAGTTTCTCTCTGGTTGAAGGAGTATGATTCTGATAAAGTTGCCTGAAGCAAAAGAAACAAAAAGGGTTTTGTCAGCATGAATGGTTTGATAAAGAAAGGTTTTATTTCTGTCTATCATGCCAAATGGTCATTACCGGAGGGGTAAAAAAAAAAAGCTGATTATTTATTGGTCGATGCAGGATGAGAAAGAACTAAATATGACAAATTCAAAAGTTTCTCCTTCGCATCAAGGAGAAAAGCTGACGTCTGAAATTGTTACACAAAGAGATTGAGAATAAGGTCAAAGAATTGCTCACTGGTGCAAAATGGTTTACGGATTCTGTTCTTCCCTTCAGATGACCCGCTGAATAAAGARCCGATGCACCAAACCCATCTAAGAGAAAGGAAGTGGAAAATCCAGCTATTCTGCTGGCCTCGGGGTCTTAAGAAGACCCTATCTCATTATACAAACACAAAAGGTTCATCAGATGCCCCAGTGATCTTTCTCTTGGTTTACAAGAAAAGCAAACAATGACGCCTAATTAGCCTAAAGCTAAGAGAGCTCTGGTTCTCTGCAGAGAAACTAAGAAACAAAGAAGGAACTTTGCTCAGCCTGGGGAAGATTATTAGGGTATAGGCATAAACATTCACTGTTGTGGCTTTTGTCACATCTCTTTAGCTGCAGCATGGGAAAGAACTAATGAAAATAAAGACAAGTTATGACCTACTTCATGGTTTATTTAAAGCTTGTAACAACATGAACAGAGCTAAGCTTCGTTCATCTTTTAAATAAAACAGTTGTTGTCTTGTAACTAGTTTAAACTCTTAGTCTCCCCTAATGTAAACAAAAATCTAGATTTATTAGTCATCGTGATTTTTTTTTTCTCTGAGTCTTTGAATGTTACGAATTATATGCTCACCACTATTACTTTTTCTTCAGCTAATTTAATTGACATCTGGGCTTTGCTTTTTGTTAATAATAATAATAA